TAAAAATCCCCAATGCTGGAGATTCTACAACCTTCCTAGGCAATATATTCCAGTGCTTAACCACGCTGACCGTTAGGAATTTTTTTCCAATGTCCGAACTAAAGCTCCCGTTGCTTCTTGTCCTATCCTCAGAGGTTAAGAAAAACAATTCTTCTCCCTCCTCCTTGTAACAACCTTTTACGTATTTGAAAACTGTTATCATGTCCCCTCTCAGTCTTCTCTTTTCCGGACTAAACAAACCCAATTTTTTCAATCTTCCCTCATAGGTCATGTTTTCTAGAACTTTAATCATTTTTGTCACCCTTTTCTGGACTGTCTCCAGTTTGTCCACATCCTTCCTGAAATGTGGCGCCCAGAACTGGACACAATACTCCGATTGAGGCCTAATCAGCATGGAATAGAGTGGAAGAATTACTTCTCGTGTGTTGCTTACAAAACTCCTGATAATACATCCCAGAATGATGTTTGCACTTTTTGCAACAGCTTTACACTGTTGACTCATATTTAGCTTGTGGTCCACTGTGACCCCAAGATCCTTTTCCGCAGTACTCCTTCCTAGGTAGTCCTTTCCCATTTTTTATGTGTGCAACTGATTGTTCCTTCCCCAATCTTATTTAATCTTTTTATTGCTGACCTTGGCACTGTCATAAATATAAAGGGAAGGGTAAACCCCTTTAAAATCCCTCCTGGCCAGAGGAAAATTCCTCTCACCTGTAAAGGGTTAAGAAGCTAAAGGTAACCTCGCTGCACCTGACCAAAATGACCAATGAGGAGACAAGATACTTTCAAAAGCTGGGAGGAGGGAGAGAAACAAAGGGTCTGTGTGTCTGTCTATATGCTGTTTCTACCGGGGATAGACCAGGAATGGAGTCTTAGAACTTTTAGTAAGTAATCTAGCTAGGTATGTGTTAAATTATGATTTCTTTAAATGGCTGAGAAAAGAATTGTGCTGAATAGAATAACTATTTCTGTCTGTGTATCTTTTTTGTAACTTAAGGTTTTGCCTAGAGGGGTTCTCTATGTTTTGAATCTAATTACCCTGTAAGGTATCTACCATCCTGATTTTACAGGGGGGATTTCTTTACTTCTATTTACTCCTATTTCTATTAAAAGTCTTCTTGTAAGAAAACTGAATGCTTTTTCATTGTTCTCAGATCCAAGGGTTTGGGTGTGTGGTCACCTATGCAAATTGGTGAGGCTTTTTATCCAACATTTCCCAGGAAAGTGGGGGTGCAAGTGTTGAGAGGATTGTTCATTGTTCTTAAGATCCAAGGGTCTGGGTCTGTAGTCACCTAGGCAAATTGGTGAGGCTTTTTACCAAACTTTGTCCAGGAAGTGGGGTACAAGGTTTTGGGAAGTATTTGGGGGGAAAGACATTTCCAAACAGCTCTTCCCCAGTAACCAGTATTTGTTTGGTGGTGGTAGCGGCCAATCCAAGGACAAAGGGTGGAATATTTTGTACCTTGGGGAAGTTTTGACCTAAGCTGGTAAAGAGAAGCTTAGGAGGTTTTCATGCAGGTCCCCACATCTGTACCCTAGAGTTCAGAGTGGGGGAGGAACCTTGACAGGCATAAAAAGCGGGAATGTGCTACTAAAGTTTGCGGATGACATGAAGGTGGGAGGTATTGCCAATACAGAGAAGGACCGGGATATCATACAGGAAGATCTGGATGACCTTGTAAACTGGAGTAATAGTAATAGGATGAAATTTAATAGTGAAAAGTGCAAGGTCATGCATTTAGGGATTAATAACAAGAATTTATGTTATAAAGTGGGGACTCATCAGTTGGAAGTAACAGAGCAGGAGAAGGACCTCGGAGTATTGGTTGATCACAGGATGACTATGAGCTGCCAATGTGATATGGCCGTGAAAAAAGCTAATGTGGTCTTGGGATGCATCAGGCGAGGTATTTCCGGTAGAGATAAGGAGGTTTTAGTTCCGTTATACAAGGCACTGGTGAGACCTCATCTGGAATACTGTGTGCAGTTCTGGTCTCCCATGTTTAAGAAAGATGAATTCAAAGTGAAACAGGTACAGAGAAGGGCTGCTAGGATGATTCGAGGAATGTCTTATGAAAAGGAGACTCAAGGAGCTTGGCTTGTTTAGCCTAACCAAAAGAAGGCTGAGCGGAGATATGTTTGTTCTCTATAAATATATCAGAGGGATAAATACCCCGGAGGGAGAGGAATTATTTAAGCTCAGTACCAATGTGGACACAAGAACAAATGGATATAAACTGGCCATCAGGAAGTTTAGACTTGAAATTACACAAAGGTTTCCAACCATTAGAGGAGTGAAGTTCTGGAACAGCCTTCCAAGGGAAGCAGTGAGGGCAAAAGATATATCTGGCTTCAAGACTAAGCTTGATAAGTTTATGGAAGAGATGATATGATGGGATAGCCTAATTTTGGCAATTAATTGATCTTCAACTATTAGTGGTAAATATGCCCAGTGGCCTATGATGGGATGTTAAATGGGGTGGGATCTGAGTTACTACAGAGAATTCTTTCCTGGGTGTCTGGCTGGTGAGTCTTGCCCACATGCTCAGGGTTTAGCTGATTGCCATATTTGGGGTCAGGAAGGAATTTTCCTCCAGGGCAGATTGGCAGAGGCCCTGGGGGTTTTTCGCCTTCCTCTGCAGCGTGAGGCACAGGTCACTTGCTGGAGGATTCTCTGCACCTCAAAGTCTTTAAACCACGATTTGAGGACTTCAATAGCTCAGACATAGGTTAGGGGTTTATTACAGGAGTGGGTGGGTGAGATTTTGTGGCCTTCGTTGTGCAGGAGGTCAAACTAGACGATCATAATGGTCCCTTCTGACCTTAACATCTATGAATCTATTAATCTAAATGGAGTACTTTGCATTTGTCTGTATTGGATATCATCCTATTTACTTCAGACCATTTCTCCAGTTTGTCCAGATCATTTTGAATGTTAATCCTATCCTCCAAAGTACTTGCAATCCCTCCCAGCTTGATATAATGTGCAAGCTTTATAAATGTACTCTCTATGCCAATTTCTAAATCATTGATGAAGATATTGAACGGAACCGACCCAGAACTGATCCCTGCGGGACCCCACTCGTTATGCCCTTCCAGCATGACTGTGAACCATTGATAACTACTCTTTGGTAATGCTTTTCCAACCAGTTTTGTACCCACCTTATAGTAGCTCCATCTAGGTTGCATTTCCCTAGTTTTTTTATGAGAATGTCATGCGAGACAGTATCAAAAGCTTTACTGAAGTCAAGATATACCACGTCTACCGCTTCCCCCCATCCAGAAAGCGTGTTACCCTGTCAAAGAAAGCTATCAGGTTGGTTTGACATGGGTTTTTTTTTTTACTGTCACTTATCACCTTATTATCTCTAGATGTTTCCAAATTGATTGCTTAATTATTTTCTCCATTATCTTTCCAGGTACAGAAGTTAAGCTGACTGGTCTGTAATTCCCTGGGTTGTCCTTATTTCCCTTTTTATAGATTTTTTTTAATAGATTACATATTTATAACCATCTACAACACGTGCTACTACTCATGTCTCCAACAGGCTTATAAAACCTATTAATTATTTATTGACCCTTTATACATTGTTTATAGACATATGTGTTACAGAAAGTGTGACCTTTATTTCTGTAACATGTAAAATGTTGTTATACTTCTGATGATCTTTTTTTTTTTTTTCTGGAGCTTTCTTCCTACCTTTGGTGTTTTCTCCCGGCTTCAGTGTACAAATGACATCCAGTGGTTAAGCTGTTGTTGCAAACTTTCCCAAGTTTACTCAACTCTTGTTCATATTTTTTAGAAGGAAATTACATTAACAATTTACCACAACTTCTTGCCTCCAATCACTCACACAGATTACTAGTGTTACTATGTCACAATTACTAATAGTCCATCACCCACAGGTGGAATGATTTTTAATTTACAGTGGTGAATAGTGTGGACTTATAAAAGAGAAATAACTTAGCTTCAGATATTTTTATCTGTAAGTGCTCTAATTAGGTAGAAGTAGTTTTTCTACACTAAGGTCTCACCCATTCAATGTTTTGCATTGAAATACTTCTGTCTTACTCTGTACTTACCTGTTGCTCCTTCTGAATCCACAAAATGGAAGCTCACATGAATATGTTGGTTGGGATTCAGTAGTGTGTAGGAGTGGGCAGGAGGTAACCAAAAGCCTAAAATAACAGCTAGAGGTTTCAGAGGGAAGAAAAATCTGTTTGAATGGATGCCTGTTTACAGCAAATAACTGTAAAAGAAACCCCTCAGCTCCTTTAGCTGATGATAGAGTCCTTACTTTGTACTCTCTGGGGAAGTTTCCCATGCATCAGCCGATCCAAGAGAGTGGGTTACAGGTCCTATGGGAGGAGTTGGGGAGTAAGCTACAAAAGGGCATGTGACCACAGAATACTCCTAAAGATCTAGGACATCTTATAGGGAGAGTCCATACATCAGCCTCCTTGTAGTGGAGGAATGCCAGGCACTTGTGATGAGCCGAAAACACAGGTCCCACTGGCCCAGATAATGCAGAACACTGTGGTACTGGAACCAGCGTAGCCAGTAAAAACTTAGAGCATGGGCCATTGGAGAGCATGGGCATGCTGATTTACTTTGAGCTCTGTGTAAGGTGTTGATTCAGCCATCGCTATTTTACATGATAAATATTTTATGCATTTGGTGGGGGATGGAATTTAATCCTGGCTTTGCTCCGTGTAAGGCCACATAGCTCATATAAAGGGCCTTTTATAAAGGGGTGAGGATGCTTCTCCATAGACTCACTTCCCACCTTTTGAAAGTACCACCCCCTTTGAGCCTATGCTCCTGCACGTGCACTTGGCTGGTATGATTTAGTGCAGGTTTATAAGAATAATTCCCAAGATGTTCTGGTTGTACTATTCTTGCGTGATTAAAAGCATGATGAAAATTACTATATTATGTGGATAATGAGTCTGAAGTACAGTGTAGTGGCTGGAAAACTGAGACCAGTATTTTCTTCCAGTTGCACAGTAAACTTCTGGAGACAGAACGCCAGCTAGGGGAAGCACATGGTCGACTTAAAGAACAGAGACAACTCTCTAGTGAAAAACTGATGGACAAGGAACAGCAGGTGGCTGATCTGCAGTTAAAACTTTCTCGTGCCGAAGAACAGGTAGGAGTGATACACATGATCAGATTTCACCTTTGTTGTAGTGGTGTTTTGTGTATTCTACTTGCAACATCCTTCTCATGTTGGTGTTTACATAGTTTGTGTCCATATAGTCTATATGATGGTTACTTTTTTGTTTTTAGAAGGCAAAAGAATTACTTCCTTGCCTATAGCCTAAATGTGCGAGGTGCTTTACAGATAAATAAAGGATATGGCACTGGGACTTGAGTACTTTGAGGCTAAGGGTCTGAGCATGCAAAAAGATCTGCATGCACAGAAACTTATGCCGTGCTGTCATAAATATAAAGGGAAGAGTAAACACCTTTAAATCCCTCCTAGCCAGAGGAAAAATCCTTTCACCATGTCAAGGTTCCTTCCCCACTCTGAACTCTAGGGTACAGATGTGGGGACTTGCATTAAAGCCCCCCTAAGCTTATTCTTACCAGCTTAGGTTAAACGCTGCCACCACCAAAGTGTTACACAAAGAACAGGGGACGTGCCACTTGGAAACATCTCCCTCCCAAAATATCCCCCCAAGCACTACATCCCCTTTCCTGGGGAAGGCTTGATAAAAATCCTCTCCAATTTGCATATGTGAACACAGACCCAAATCCTTGGACCTTAAGAACAATGAAAAAGCAATCAGGTTCTTAAAAGAGAATTTTAATTAAAGAAAAAGTAAAAGAATCACCTCTGTAAAATCAGGATGGTAAATACCTTATAGGGTAATCAGATTCAAAACATAGAGAATCCCTCTAGGCAAAACCTTAAGTTACAGAAAGACACAAAAACAGGAATATACATCCCATTCAGCACAACTTATTTTATCAGCCATTTAAACAAAACAGAATCTAACGCATATCTAACTAGATTGCTTATTAACTCTCTACAGGAGTTCTGACCTGCATTCCTGTTCTGGTCCCGGCAAAAGCATCACACAGACAGAGAGAACCTTTTGTTTCTCCCCCCTCCAGCTTTGAAAGTATCTTGTCTCCTCATTGGTCAGACACATGCATAGCAGAGTTTTGTGTGTGCATATCTTTTTATGAGATCAGGGTCCAACTGAAGAAGTAATAGTGATTATAGTGAATAATGTGTTGGGGGGAATTGGTGTCAGAAAACTAATTTTACTACTCTATTAATAGGTCAAGTTTTTTGCAATAGGGTACTTAGGGTATGTTTACTTAGGGTATGTTTACACTACCCGCCGGATTGGCGGGTAGTGATCGATCCCCGATCGCTCTGCCATCGACTCCTGTACTCCATCGCAGTGAGAGGTGGAAGTGGAGTCGACGGGGGAGTGGCGGCAGTCGACCCTGCGCCGTGAGGACGTGAGGTAAGTCGACCTAAGAGACATTGACTTAAGCTATGCTATTCTCATAGCTGAAGTTGCATATCTTAGGTTGATCCCCTCCCCTAGTGTAGACCAGGTCTTCGTAACAAATATTTGTTGTTGACCTGTTTATATTAGCTATATGCAGATGTGCCAAACCTCTAAGAGTGGGACGTTTTCAAAGTTTTACACTGCGGTTTAGCAGACACCTCTAAACTGCAGTGTAAAACTTTGAAAATTTACCGCTCTTAGGCCTGGTCTACACTGGGGGGGGAATCGATCCAAGATACTCAACTTCAACTACGAGAATAGCGTAGCTGAAGTCGACGTATCTTAGATCGATTTAGAATCACTTCGCGTCCTCGCGGCGCGGGATCGACGGCCGCCACTCCTCTGTCGACTCCGCTTCTGCCTCTCACTGTAGTGGAGTTCTGGAGTCGATGGCAGAGCGTTCGGGGATCAATTTATCACGTGTCGATTAGATGCAATAAATCGATCCCCGATAGAGCGATCACTACCCGCCGATCCGGTGGGTAGTGTAGACATGGCCTTTGACTTTAATGAGTCATACAGCTAACACTGTGCAGTGCTTTGCATGTTGGCTCCAGAAAGTCTGTTAAGGTAAATAGACCATAAGGGCAAGTGTATACTTAAAATGCTGCATCGGCACAACTGCACTGATGCAGCTGCTCTGCTGCAGTGCTCTAATGAAGACGCTCTATCCTGATGGGAAAGAGCTGTCCTGTCGGCATAGTTAATCCACCTCCCTTAGAGGCAGTAGCTATGCTGATGGGAGAAGGTCTCCCACCAACATAGTGCTGTCTAAACCGGGGATTAGGTCTGTGTAACTAAATCTCTCAGGGGTGTGGATTTTTCACACCTCTGAGTGACGTAGTTATACCAGTGCAAGTCTGTAGCGTGGACCAGACCTAAGTTGCTACTAAAACTGCTAATGATAATTAGCACTTAGTATACTTTATGAATATAAATTTCTTTAACTCTACTTATCCATGAGAAAAAAGACTAAATCTCCTTTAACAGCTTGGTGTTAAGATGTACAATAATGCCTGTCTGACACATGAGGTAATTTTTGTTATTTAGAATTTACCTACTGTCAGTGTTGAGAAGTACTTCAGTGCTGTGTTCGTACTTTGCTGTAGAACTGGTATGACAAATTACTACTTTTGCATCTGTTTGAAATGTTAAACTGTTTAGTGTACAGTCTTTCAGTATTAGAGTAAATGATAAATGTTATTGAACTACTGAATTGTGCTTGTCAGTTTTCAGTCAACAGTCCGTGACTGTTTTTTTAAGCTAAAGGAAAAAGCAGCAAATTGCACTGAATTACAGCATCAGTTAGATAAAGCAAAACAGCAGCATCAGGAGCAACAGACTCTTCAGCAAAGCACTACAGCAAAACTCCGAGAAGCCCAGGTAAAAAAACCAACGCACATTCTTTTCAAACTGGTGTATTGCAGCAGTTAATATTGCCGGTGCATTGCAACATGTAAACAAGCGGCACAATTTCCTAATGTATACCATTTTCTTCTTTTAATTAAATAACATTGAAGGAATTTATAATTTCAAAATAGAATATATAGTAAGTATTTGTGAAATTTGATATCTAACATTTCATGCATCAGGAATAACTTTTAAGGTCCCTATACTTAAAGAAACTATTTAATGCATTTTTAGAATGATTTGGAACAAGTACTGCGTCAGATTGGAGATAAGGACCAAAAAATTCAAAACCTTGAGGCCTTGCTACAAAAGAGTAGAGAGAACATCACCCTGTTAGAAAAAGAAAGAGAGGACTTGTATGCGAAAATTCAAGCGGGGGAAGGAGAAACTGCAGTTCTTAACCAGCTGCAAGAGAAAAATCATACTTTGCAAGAGCAGGTAAGAAATGCAAAAATCTCCAATACCCTTAAGAAAGTTTGTGTAAGAAGAGTCTCCTTTGTTTCTATCTCCCAGTCTGCAGCTTCAGCCTCCACTGTACTTCGCCCTTTTTTGGATACTGTATTGCTTTAGCATCTCTTTTTATAAAATTCACAAGATTTCTGTGATTTTCCCCCCCTCCACCCCCCCTTCTTGTTCTGATAGCAATACATTTTGGTGCTTCACATCCAGCTGTACAAGTTGTGCACTTGGATATGAAGGATGGTGTGTATACATACAATCAAAATGATTTATTATTAGTTTTTCTTACCTTTGTGGAAATCTAATTGATAACATATTTGAACAAGAAAACACATAACATACACTGAACATGATTTAACGAAAAGTTCTTTGAGGTGGAAATTACAATCACAGTGTAGCATCTGAAAGGTACATTATTAGATATTTTAAAGGTATTTTAAAGTAATTTTAGCTGCATAATCTTTTAAAATATATATGTGTGTATGTATATACACACATATATTTTTTAAAAAGCTATGCTGGAATTACTACTACTTGTGCATACAATTTTTACTTCATAATTTTGCAAAAGGTAATGTGATTGTATGTTAGTGACTCTTTTTGTACTAGAGGAATTTTTTTAGTATACTGTTTAAAATACCAATATGGTAATATTGTTGCACACTTACTAACAAAGGTTATTAGAACACCGTGTTCTCCTTTCCCAGCATATGTGCAACACATTAGTAGTAATTAGAGCTGAATGTGAGTTCTCTGGCATATAGTCCTTAGTGTATGCTACTGGTACAAATAAGATAGAAATGTACTAGTTCCCAATACCAGCTGTTACCTGTTTGTAATGGAAGGAACACCTGTGTCTTTTATGAGCTACTTGAAAAATATTTTGGTAGCAAACACATGTCAATTTTTTGTGAGTAATTAATGGATGTTTTTTGCCATACTTGCTGTAATGTTATAATAAAACATACACAATATATAGAATACTAATATGAATTAAATGGAGTTCGGTTCATGTTTACTGCAGACATAGAGCTTTGAAATGGGCAAAGATTAAATTGATAGGGATATATTGTTTTCTGGATGGATCACATGTAACTCACATTAGTGTTAATGGTCATGTGGATATACCCTTATCCTGAAGAGTTTATAATCCAAGGTACTGATCATATGAACATTTATACACATGTCAGCAGGACTACTCATGTTGTGTAAAGAAAAGCATGAGTATAAGTGTTTGCAGGGTCAGGTCTTAAGAAGACAGGTGAAACATGAAGGGTGGAGGGAGAGGGATACAATCAAATATATATAATTTTCTATTAATGGATTTACTTCTAAATTCTTGGCAGATACATCCTATATTCAAGGAGCAAGTGCTGTATGTTGCATTTTTCATACTGTTTCTCCCAGCTCATAACCTTATGTGTCAAGCTAAAACCTCATTCAAATTGATGCTTAAACATGCAAAATAAAGCCCAATAGCATCTGCCCAGAATCTAGCACCATGTGGGTGGAGGGTTTTACTGGGTATTGTGACCAGGAATGTGTGGGAGGAAGTAAGGGTGGGAGCACACAGAAATGGAGAGCAGACAAGAACAGAGAGAAGGAGAGGCAAGAAAGCCAAGGAGGAGCCTGTGACCATGAAAAAAGCTAGAGAGCTTTCGGATTGTTGTTGGCTAAAGAGGTTTGTGGGCTGTAAACTTAGAAACTGCTCTTTTGTTCTTGGTTCCCTCTGTATTCAGAGGCCCATCACTTTGAACATTCCTTCCAATAAACAGGACCGCAGCAAATAAAATACCATCAAATTCTACTTCCAGCTGGAACCTTCCAAGGGCCCCAAACTATGACTATCCACTTAGGTGGAAAAGGGGCAATAATACATAACCAAAGGGTTGAGTCCAGGCCTTCAGTGCAAAGCTCAACTCAGCCTAACTATTGAACCACAATTGGTGCCTCCATGATGTGTTTATATTATTTTTCTTATAAATAAAGTAAGACTCAACCATCCTTATCTATCTCTCAACCTAGCTAACACAAACTGGGCACACACAGAAGGGTGCACACTCACAGTGTTATATGAGAGTGATCATGCTTGCTGCCTTTGAATATCTTGTCAAAATAGTTATGCTTTTAAAAGTTGGGGTGACTCATGTATTGCACACAAAAAATAAATGCACTGTTGTTGTCCAGAAAGAGAAACTTTGTAGAATTAATAAGTGGTGAAGTTGATCAGTATTGGGGCTTCGTAATCGAAACAACATCTTTTGAATTTTAGGATGTTTTTAATTTTGCCCTTGGACTTTTAATTGGCAGCTTATTTATATTGTAGGTAACTCAGCTAACAGAAAAGCTGAAGAATCAGTCGGAAAGCCATAAACAAGCCCAAGAGAATTTGCATGAGCAGGTGCAAGAGCAGAAGGCACATCTGAGAGCTGCTCAAGACCGTGTGCTCTCCCTAGAAACAAGCATTGGTGAACTAAATAGTCAGCTAAATGAAAGCAAAGAGAAAGTATCCCAGCTTGATTTACAGGTAATTTGACTTTGTACTGTATGCTAATGAAAAAAATCCATCTGCTTTTCATTGTGGAAAAAGGTGGCCTTTGTTGAATATACAAGGCTAGTAGGCTAAGTTTCTACTAAAGTTTGCTTGTTTTGTAAGCAAAAAATGGCCAAATAAAGTGCAATAAGCAAGATACAATCCAGCAAGACATCAGCCGTTCTAAGATATAAGGATTGCAGCCAAAAAACAACACACCGAAAAGAACACAACCACCACCAAAGAGTCGAGGTAGGAGAAGTTATGTCTCCTTAAAAGCCTCAGACTTGCTGTGTGCATCAAAGCTAAGAAGCCTGTCTGAAAACTGTTTTAATGGTTCTATACTCCACATGCCAGGGTGAGAATCTGTCAAAGCAGGGTCATGAAGAACCTGACACTACCCAGAATTTTAGTAGATTACTGATTTTTGAAGTGGTTTTATATTTTACTGGGTTTTGGGTTTTTTGTCTAATGCAGTCAAGCAAAAGTTCCAACGGGGACTTAATCACAATTGAGAGAGACTGAGGGCTTGTCTACGCTTAAAATGCTGCAGCAGCGCTGCCATAGTACTTCAGTAAAGACACTACCTATGCTGTCCCATTGGCACAGGTACTCCACCTCCCTTAGAGGTGGTATTCTCCCGTCAGCCTAGTGCTGTCCACACCAGGGTTTGGTTGGTTTAACTGCATCACTCAGGGGTGTGGATTTTTCACACCCCTGAATGTGACATAGTTAGACTGACCTAATTTCCTAGCATAGATCAGGCCTGAGTGCTTTGAAGCCTACTACAAGGAGGCTCATATTCAGGTCCCAGAAGGAATAAGGTACATTTGACCAGAGGTTTGGCAGATAGTCTAAGACTTGTCTTGATAAAGTGTCCATTTCTGAAATGTGGGAAGTGGCTACTACTGGTATTTGGGATATGGTTCATAATGATCATTATTATTGCTCAGCCCTTCTATTAGTTCCAGGTGTATGTAGATCACTGATTTCCATAGGGGTGGGAATCCATGAAAACCGTTTAGGCTTTGATGTTGCTCCCATTAAATCAAATGGGAGTTTTGCCATTGCTTTGAGTAAGAGCAGGATGGAACCTTTAATCAGGGGAAAAAAATAGCTAACTTACCAGTAGCTGGAGATCTCTGAAAATTGCCATACAGATCCACGCTGACACACCCTTCATGTCTGCCATTCAGATTCTATTTATGACTGGAGAATTGCTAACATAGTTCCTATTTTTAAGAAAGGAAAAAAAAGTGAACCGGGTAACTAGAGGCCTGTTAGTTTGACATCTGTAGTATGCAAGGTCTTGGAAAAATTTTTGAAGGAGAAAGTAATAAAGGACATTGAGGTCAATGGTAATTGGGACATAATACAACATGGTTTTACAAAAGGTAGATCGTGTCAAACCAACCTGATCTCCTTCTTTGAGAAGGTAACAGATTTTTTAGACAAAGGAAACGGAGTGGATCTAATTTACCGTGATTTCAGTAAGACATTTGATACAGTTCCACATGGGGAATTATTAGCTAAATTGGAAAAGATGGGGATCCATATGAAAATTGAAAGGTGGATAAGGAACTGGTTAAAGGGGAGACTACAACGGGTCACACTGAATGGTGAACTCTCAGGCTGCAAGGAGGTTACTAGTGGAGTTCCTCAGGGATTGGTTTTGGGACCAATCTTATTTAATCTTTTTATGACTGACCTTGGCACAAAAAGCGGGAATGTGCTAATAAAGTTTGCGGATGACATGAAGCTGGGAGGTATTGCCAATACAGAGAAGGACCAGGATATCATACAGGAAGATCTGGATGACCTTGTAAACTGGAGTAATAGTAATAGGATGAAATTTAATAGTGAAAAGTGCAAGGTCATGCATTTAGGGATTAATAACAAGAATTTATGTTATAAAGTGGGGACTCATCAGTTGGAAGTAACAGAGGAGGAGAAGGACCTCGGAGTATTGGTTGATCACAGGATGACTATGAGCCGCCAATGTGATATGGCCGTGAAAAAAGCTAAGGCGGTCTTGGGATGCATCAGGCGAGGTATTTCCGGTAGAGATAAGGAGGTTTTAGTACCGTTCTACAAGGCACTGGTGAGACCTCATCTGGAATACTGTGTGCAGTTCTGGTCTCCCATGTTTAAGAAAGATGAATTCAAACTAGAACAGGTACAGAGAAGGGCTGCTAGGATGATTCGAGGAATGTCTTATGAAAAGGAAACTCAAGGAGCTTGGCTTGTTTAGCCTAACCAAAAGAAGGCTGAGGGGAGATATGATTGTTCTCTATAAATATATCGGAGGGATAAATACCACGGAGGGAGAGGAATTATTTAAGCTCAGTACCAATGTGGACACAAGAACAAATGGATATAAACTGGCCATCAGGAAGTTTAGACTTGAAATTAGACAAAGGTTTCCAACCATCAGAGGAGTGAAGTTCTGGAACAGCCTTCCAAGGGAAGCAGTGAGGGCAAAAGATATATCTGGCTTCAAGACTAAGCTTGATAAGTTTATGGAAGGGATGATATGATGGGATAGCCTAATTTTGGCAATTAATTGATCTTCAACTATTAGTGGTAAATATGCCCAGTGGCCTATGATGGGATGTTAGATGGGGTGGGATCTGAGTTACTACAGAGAATTCTTTCCTGGGTGTCTGGCTGGTGAGTCTTGCCCACATGCTCAGGGTTTAGCTGATTGCCATATTTGGGGTCGGGAAGGAATTTTCCTCCAGGGCAGATTGGCAGAGGCCCTGGGGGTTTTTCGCCTTCCTCTGCAGCGTGAGGCATGGGTCACTTGCTGGAGGATTCTCTGCACCTCAAAGTCCTTAAACCACGATTTGAGGACTTCAATAGCTCAGACATAGGTTAGAGGTTTATTACAGGAGTGGGTGGGTGAGATTCTGTGGCCTTCGTTGTGCAGGAGGTCAGACTAGACGATCATAATGGTCCCTTCTGACCTTAAAGTCTGTGATTCTATTTTCTCAGGCAGACAGGTAAGAACTGAGGAAGAGAGGGTCCATTGTACCTATCTGTGCAGTCTCAGTCACAGATAGTGCATGCATCAGAGCATCTGGTTGTTATTTAAGGTAGCTGCATATAATACTTTCTGGGTCCCCAAAACACACAACAACTAGCGTATGAATGTGTCGAAGTAACTTGGGTCCAATCCAACTTGTAATCAATGAAAAGATTTCCCTTGACTCAAAGGAGAGCTGGATTGGACCCCATAATTCAAGGTATGTCTACACTTATCATGGATCCCTGGTGTGGCGATTAATCCACCGGGTGTCGATGTAGTGGGTCTAATGAAGACCCACTAAATTGACCTCAATTCGCTCTCCCATCAACTCCAGTATTCCACCAGAACGAGAAGCATAAGGTAAGTTGATGGGAGAGTTTCTCCTGTTGACCCAGTGCAGTTTAGACACCGTAATAAGTCGACCAAAGCTATGTCGACTCCAGCTATGTTATTCACGTAGCTGGAGTTGTGTAACTTAAGTGGACTTAACCCCGTAGTGTAGACCTGCCTTCAGAGAAGAACAATTACTCATAACTGTATTTTATTTTGTTCCATTCTGTCTTCAGCTGTCTAAACTTTATTGATAACTTGTGTTTTAGCTGTGTCCAACATTTCATCATGTCAGAATTACTAATAATTAGCAATAAATAGCTAGTATTAAAGCGCTTGTTAGTATGAAGAAAATTTGAGTTAAAAGCAGCTGCAATCAAGAATTCTTTATGATCTTCAGATTACAAACATTGAAACACTCTTCTTTTCAGATAAAAGCAAAGACTGAATTACTGCTTTCAGCAGAAGCATCAAAAGCCGCTCAAAGAGCAGATCTTCAGAATCATTTGGACACAGCCCAGAATGCGCTGCAAGATAAACAACAGGTAGGAGAAATTAATGCTACTAGATCATCTAAGATAACCTGTGTACAAAACGAAAAGGACAATTTGGTTTGGGAAAAAAATCCAAGTCCTTATGGATTTGCATTTGCATTGGAGACATTTATTCAGAGTATTTGAATATGTGATATATTTTGTCCTGTTTGTTATAAGCAGGGCCCTGTGTATTGTAATGTATGGAATTGACTGTGGAATCCACCCCTGCTGCAGAAATGTACTCTAGAATCTAAACTTCCATATTGTAACAGAACAGAATTGTTTCTAACCTGTGTGATTATGAAGAGAGACTTTACAAAGTATACTGAGTGTAAAACAAAGCAGTGTTGTTTTTCTGGAGTCTGCAGATTCAAGATAAAAAAGCAAACTTCAGTTAAATGAAGAAATATATTTTTATTCCAAAATAACTGTGTGCACACACATACTTGCAGTAAAATAAAAAAGGGATGAATTAAAACCAATTTAATTATTTTGGTGCAAGTCTGTGTGCACTCCATCCCTAAATCAGCACGTCTCATTGGGGTGCTAATATTGAAAACAATAGATAACAAATTAACTGTCAACATGATTAATTGTTTTGCTGCTGATTATTTCAGCAGAAACATCCACAACTCCAAACCACTTCAAAAACTAACACTGCCTCCCATGCCTTCTTGGGTGGGGAATTGAATATCAATATAAATAGCACAAGTCCTCCTGTAGTGATTGCATTTTTCATTTTCATATTTAATTAATTAAAAATCTCCCATATTTTATGTTAAATGAAGCTGCTAACAAATTTTTCAGTCTCTTGCATCAGAGTCTCGCACAAGTTAGGTCCAGCTCACCATAAAACGCATGGGTCTTTTGACTATCAGCATTATGTGTTCCATTTCTTATAGATTTCAGAGGAACAGCCGTGTTAGTCTGTATTCGCAAAAAGAAAAGGAGTACTTGTGGCACCTTAGAGACTAACCAATTTATTTGAGCATGAGCTTTCGTGAGAGCTCACGAAAGCTCATGCTCAAATAAATTGGTTAGTCTCTAAGGTGCCACAAGTACTCCTTTTCTTATTTCTTATAGAGAATAATATTGTTCCATGTTGAACCAATAGTTTTCAAACCATGATTCGTAAACCATTGGAGTCTGTGGAGAGTTGACTGGTCACATGGTATTGGCTGTCCTTGTTCCTGCTAAATTTAATTGACTGCTACAAATAGGTTAATATTATGTTCCCATGCACGCAATTGGTGTAGTTGCCACAAGAATATTATGTGATTATGAATGGGAGAGGAGTTGTTCTTTAAGACAATCTCTTTATGAAGGTGTGATTCACAGCATGAAAAAGTTCTGCCTTAAAAGCAATTTGAAAAGAATAAGCTATTGAATATGCTGTTTTTCTCCAGTATAATGTGTATGTTTTTTAAAAATTCCATCTGAACATTTTAGACAAGTAATATTTAGGCATGTGTTTAGAGAACTCTTTAATAATTTAAAAAATACTCATCCCTTAATAAAAGTAACCATTTTCAATTATATTTTACTTCATAGGAGATAAATAAGGTCAACACTCAGTTAGATCAGGTTACGGCTAAGCTGCACGACAAGCAAGAATATTGTACACAGCTGGAAGCCAGTCTTAAAGAGTATAAAGAGAAACATCTTCATTTAGAACAGAAAACGGAGGAGCTAGAGGGACAGCTTAAGGTTTGTATTCAGAAATGAAGAACTTGAGTTTATAAAACTAGCTTTCACCATGTAAAGCACCAAAATTGTTTCATAATGCATGGTAACAGCAGTGCGGAAATTGCAGGAGGAGGATGGCCAGCCACCTAAAAAGTGGTGTTGATGGTATTCTCTTTTCCCAGTGTTTCCTTTTTCAGCTGATGAATGAGAAAGTGGGGTTATGCCATAACTGCCTCCACTGCCCCAGCCTCCTTCCCCGCCAATTGCAACCTGAATATAATTCATGGAGAATATTAAGAGATGAGACATAGGCCACTTCCTAAATTCAGAACTCTCATATTTGTGGTTGTATAAACTTCAGGTAACTTTATTTAAGTGCATAAGTGTTTGCAGGATCAGACCCTAATGTACACACATCTTCAGTGTCTTACATTTGAGGCAGGAGGCAAAAAGACAGAATACAGTAACATGAGAAGTGTATACAATTGCACAGAGGTGGAGTATGTTCCATTTATAAATTACTGGGTTATTTTTAGATTACCGTATTTTAAGCATTTTGCAGATATTTGAATCCATTACAATATAGAAGTATATTTAATTTTAAATGTACGTGAAGACTAGGGGTGAGATCTTTGTGCCTGGAGGCTGGAGGCATTTATGAACAACTGAGTGATTTTTCACTCTGGTGGTTGTGTTATGGTAACTGTAGCTTTTTCTTTTCTTTTACAGAAACTTGAAACTGACATTCTTGAGGTTAAAGCAAGCAAAGAACAGGCCCTTCAGGAGCTACGACAGCAAGGACAGCAGTGTACAGAGCTAGGCCTCAGAACAACAGAACTGACCAAACAGCTTGAAGCAAAAAGAGAAGTGTATGCTAACACTGTTTAATGCATTACTTTTCAGACCCAGAGACCAAGATTCAAATTTGAATTGTTCTATAAGAACAAACAAATGCATGTTTATACTCTTAGACTAGAATTGAAATTATTATTCACCTTCATGATCAGTTATTCACCATAATGATCACCAGAACTCACCTAAAACACTAGAGTAACCCTACACCTCAGTGGGGGCTTCTGCATCTTTCCCCACACAGGGGAGATAAGCGTTGCCTTGTTTGACTTGCACTTCAGCCATCAGCCTTCATCCCATAGGTGAGTCACCAAGTACCGTGACTTAACCTGAGTGGGTTGAGATGCATTCAGTGTACTTCCTCCATCTCTTCTGTACACTCTGTCTAGGTCCCACTTGTTGTATCCGCAGCAGAAAGCTGGTCATCAGCAAACAACCTTGCATTATCATACCATCCTCTGAAAAATTAGGGGGTCCTTCGCAGCATGGGGCTCAGATCTCTAATATGTATATAAATGAGATATTCATCATCACCACCTATACCTGATATATGGGTAAGAGCAGGTTCTATTATCATAGAACAGATGAGAATATTGGAATTCCTATGCTTGACTAAGCAGATTTAAGTTTTGTGCGATAAATGGTCAAGGGAGATTCAACCTATAGGTGGAAAGTTAGTGGGGATACAGGATAGCATTAAAGCTGGTGTGGGAATCTTAATTGCAAATGCAATTTCTCCAGCACTTAGCACAAACAAAAACTACCACAAAACATATCTGGTAATGTTGTTGTGTTGAAGGTCAGTCTCTTAACTTTTAACTCTGTCTGGGAATAATGTGTGTGAGACTGTCTTTCATAGAACCAAAGGGTATGTTGCCAGTTGATGGATCTGAATATATTAACCTGTTCAGACATCTGCTGAGTAAAAAACCTTAATTTTGGTTTTTATTCATCTTGATTTACAATTTGCATGTTAGCTCTCCAGGGGTAGTTCATAGGCGTAATGTTTAAAGAACCACCACCAGCCTGAAAATGGGACTTCAGAGTATGTCATTCATTTAAGTGTAGAAACGAAACATCAGTACATCATCTGAAAAAACATGTTTTAAATTAGAAGAACGATTAATGTTTTTGATTAGAGAGAGTAGATTTAATTACACAAAACAACTTAGGGATAATTTTTTAAAGTTTTGTATTTCACTGCTCTCCTTTGTATTTGCACAGTGTATCTAGTACTAAATTGGATTTGGAGAAGAAATCTGATGCCCTGGAACAAGCAAAACAGCAAATATCAAAGCAAGGGGAAGAAAAAGCAAGCCTTAAACGGGACCTTGAGAAATTAAATCAAGAGACAAATAAACAACGTAAGGAACTAGATGGCAAGATTCAAGCAGCAACATTAGAGCTGCAGAAAATGAAGTTGGAGAAAGACACTTTATTGAAAGACCTTACAGTTACCAAAGACAAATTATCAAAAACCATTGAATCCTTGAAGGATATAAAGGATGAATTGGAAAAGGAGAAACAGAAAGGAAAAGCCACTGTGGCAGAAATGGTTAGTTATGGATTTAATCAGGCATCCAGTATTGGGTATTTTTCAGTTTTCTCATTCATGATTGTCAGCTCTGCTTTGCATTCTAGTACGAAAACTGCTCACATTTATTGCAAAGATGATGGCACCAACTGTGGAAATTATGATTGCCTTAAGAAAAACAAAACTGAGATATAATTGTAAGTCCTAAATTAAGTTGTGGCTGGATGTTTTTACTGGTAAACATTGGTTCATACCAGAAACCAGACCCCTTTAGTTGCTTTTTAATATGGCAAAGAAAACCACGGACGGGGATGAGCATTGAAACAATTATATGTGAAATGTGGAAAACACTGGATAGCCCTATAAAAACACAGATTGTGAAATTTTGCCAAAATGCAACCCACATTTGAGAACAATGAAGTCAGTTTTTCTTAATGTATTATAGTTTTGGTTTTCTAATCTGTTTCATGCAGAACACATTGGTGCACTTGTTATGGGTATGATGGAAGATTGCTAGTTCTGGTAAGTATAATGGTGTCTGGAGAGACAAGGTGGGTGAGGTCATATCTTTTATTGGACCAATTTCTGTTGCAGACAAGCCTTTGAGCTTACACAAGTCTGCAGAGCTGAAGAAGAGCTCTGTAAGCTCTCCCCAACAGAAGCTGGTCCAATAAAAGATATTACCTCATCCACTTTGTGTCTCTAATATCTTGGGAACAACATGGCTACAACGCTGCATAGAATAATTGTGTCTGTCATTTTGGGAAATACCACATCTGAACATGTTGCAAGACCTGTCAGAAAGCTAACTGATTCCAGTGACCTAAGAAGCGGCAGTATGGCGGCAAAATGCTTGGCCAGGAGTTCATTATTGTTATAAAAGTGACCCTTACTATTACTGTGTTTAAAACGATAATCCCCATTTTTCTTTTTTTTTTTTTTAAACTTTGGCTGCTTATAGCAACATCACCTAGTACAGTAGCAATACAGATTTTGTGAATTTTCTATGTTTAAAATTTATCGTAGGGGTATTTTTCCCAATTTCTTTTCCTGTTTTGCATCAGACCATCTCTCAGCTCCCATGTGTGATTGTTATTTTTATTTCCACTCAAAAATAATCAGTATTTACAATTACAAATCACATTTCTCCCCACCTTCTGTCCCTTGTATAAAAAGTCCTTTTGGTTCTTCTTTAATGAATACCTGTGATTGCAAAATGTTTTACAAAGTCAGGTCTACTCTTAAAATGCTGCAGTGGTGCCGCTGTAGTGCTTCATTGAAGATGCTAGTATGCTGACTCGGGAGCTTCTCCCGCCGACGTCGTTAAGCCACTTCTGTGAGAAGCGGCAGCGTGTCAAGGGGAGAAGCCTTTCTGTCGACATAGTGCTGTCGGTATTGGGGGTTAGGTTAGAGAACTGTGTCGCTCAGGGCTGTGGATTTTTCACACCCCTGAGCAATGTAGTTATACTGAGGTATGTTTATAATGTAGACCTGGCCTTAGCTACTTCTGCTTAACTATTTACATTTACTCTAGTAACTGGAAGGATTTACTCTTCAGTTTATACTATTAAAAATAAGGTCCATATTCTACTTCCGGGAAAGTCCATGGGAGTTTTGCCATTGATTTCAGGGACTGGGATTTGGACCTGAAGTGCACGCGCGTGTGTGTGTGTGTGTGTGTGAGAGTGTGTGAGAGAGAGAGATTTTAGATCACATTACTAACAAAGGTTCCAATTCTGCCATCCTTACTTACTCTGTGTAATACCTTACTCCAGAATTAATAAAGATGGTGTTTGAGCCTATACTGTTCCCTGACAAGGGGAAGAACCTCAGTATTTATTGGTACTTTAAAATGGCCATCCTTGTGGTTCCACTTCTGAGCTGCCAATCTAGGCCTCAATTGAGAAAAGCATCCCTATTCAGGAAAGCACTTCAGCACATTCTTAAGAGCCAGTAACTTAAATGCTATTTAAGCACATGCTTAATTTTCAGAATAAATAGCATTTAAGTCCATGGGTCTTAAGAATGTGCTGAAGTGCTTTCCTGAATCTGGGCCTTCGTGACCTGGGAAGAATGACTAGGACTGGATTTTCAGTGGTTATAGTTTATAGCCCATTGTGAGGATATTTCTGTGTCGGAAACAGATTCTGATTTAAGAGAATGCAAGTGTCCTTTCTTGGTAGTTTGTAGTTTTTGTAATAACAGCTTAAATGCATTTGGTAAAGTTGACAAAAAATGCTCACTAGGTAATCTGTTTTTTAGGAAAAATCTTGCCAAGAAACTAAACATCAGCTTCAAGTACAGACAGAGTCTGTAGCTAAAGAACGGAATGAGTTGAAAAACTCACTGGAAAAACAGGAAGGGGTAAGATAACTAATTTCCAATTAGAAAAAATAACAATATATCAATGACAGCTTTTCCAATCACATATACAGAGATCAGATTGGAGGGGAAAAAAGGTAGTGGTATTCTCCCAAGCCCTATGCAGTTGACACCAAAACAAGATGACAGTCACAGAAGGTTGTGTGTATTCTAATATGATCATCCGTGGTTTTGGTGTGCTTTTCGTACAATAGATATAGTGATAACAGATGATCATTGTCCCTCTGCTTTCTTACATGTTTTGAAATAGTTAACTATGTTAACTTGTCATTAGTTTTCTGAGTTAACATCTCTTTTAAATGAGTGGTGACAGTTCACACCTCTCAGATCTGTTGTTTCAAGCTTAGTTAGACATCTCCATATCATTGTATGTATCATTTTATCAGTATGCTATTTGCTGTTTGGGAGAAAATTTTCAGAAACTCTTGAGAGATTTTGTTGTTTTTGAAAACCTCCCTATAGGAGGTTATCTTTGTAACTATATGGATTATTCTTACGTTTAAAAAAATGAAAACTTACATTCTAGAGCACAGGATAGCCATGTCAACGATAAAGGATCTGCTGCCAAGTGACTGTGGAGTGGGCCAGTTTGGCCCCTGCATGAAAAAAGAGGCCAATTAGATGTCCAGTTAGATGTTAGCTGTAAATAATGTATTTGATGTACAGCAACAAAAACTAATGATGATTGAGGTAAAGATAATATGCAGGTTTTTTATATTTTTAAATATAGATTTCTAAGCAGCTGACAATAGAGCTTGATTCAGCACGAGGACAAATACTGGAGATTCAGGGTGTCCTAAAAGAGAAGGAAAAGAATGAGCAGCATCTCCAGGGAAAGCTGAAAGAACTGAAGGAATCATTTGATCAGAAGAAAAGGCAAACTGAAACACAGCAAGCTGAATTAAAGGGTGCCCTTTTAGAAAAGGTGGTCCTGGTTTCTCTTCATTCCTCTTACTTGCAAAGGAAATTAGTATTAACTCCTCTGATGCATGCTTCTGTTTTATGTCATTATGTGGGTGATAAAATAGCTATTTACTGTAGCTGAAATGTGTTACTGGGAATGGTAAGGTCAGGATGCAGAACTGAGCCCATCAGATATTGTTCAAGGTCAAAACTATAAAAATGTTGAGTGTAAGGCTCAAATAGTGAATTATGGATTATGCAAGTAGTACACCTGTCATCAAATTGATAAAAATAGCTAGATCTGCTGTGTTCATTCTACTGCATCTGTATGCAATGTGGCAAGAGTTGCCATCTTGTCGCATAGCAGTATGCAGTTTCGTGAGAATAATTTAGACAAGAGTCCTCAGCATTTTGGAGCATAAGTGGTGGTTTTAAAAACTCATTTTGTACTGTAAAAAGAGAATAGTCTTAATGACAATATGAAATGTGAACTATGATGAAAAAGTTCAAACTCCGTATAGTTTTAGGGATGTTAGTGTCATGTGCTGTATTATTAAATGATGTCTGCACTCAGTGTCTCATTTATCATATAAAGTATTGCAGTGGCCTTCTGTTGTTCTGCCCATGGAAACTGCAAAGTTTGGAAACACTGTTTAGATGTTTGAAAACTGGGCTCCCTGTGTTTAATTAGTCTCTTGATGTTAGTCATTTATTTTCTTTATTATATAGCAAGTAAATCACAGTATATTAATGTAAGAAATAATATGATTTAATAATATAGCTATTACTTATCCCAGCTACAAAATTTGAACAAGGCCATAAGTATTGCAGAGTGAATTAAGAGAAAAGATTTATGAAATAATTATGCTTGTTTAATTAACATTTCTTAAAAATTAGTTTAACAAAACTGAGATTGCAAATCATCCATATTTTACATTTTATCTTACATGCCTGCTTTGTACTGTAAAATATAAATCCAGGATTCGTATGTGTGTTTCAGGCAGAACTAGAGAATAAATTACAGCAGCAGGTAACATTATCAGCACAGGAGCTTAAAGCAGAGAAAGGAAAACTAGCGGAGCTACAGAAGATTCATGAAAAAGATCAGGAAAATATGAAAGAACTTCAGCTGGATCTTTATGGTAAAGAATCTGAGCTGTTGGCAACAAGGCAAGATCTTAAGGTACAGTGTCTTTTTAAAGTCATAAGTGACCTAATAATGTTTGTCTTCAGGATGAATACAAAGAAGCAAAGTGAAAGCCATATGAAGAAAAAACTCTTTTGCTTTGTATAGAATTGTATTGTGTTCTTTTCCTCCGGACATAGTACATGTTGGAATTGATTTAAATGCCAAGTATTTTTGCCTGATTTACCTAGAACGCCCTTCCAGTTCAAAAGTGTTTTGTAGCAGTGCTGTTGTCTGAGCTCTGGGAACAAGGTGAAGGATTTAGGAGTACTGGATTCTTTCTTTTCACATTTCTCTCTGTATAAAGCTTGTCCCCAGTCTTCCCACTGCATAGTTCCCAATCTGTGGAAACAGAAATACAACTAATGGCATCCATTTCTGCCAGCATGCAAGGGAGTAACCCCAAGAGTATTTCCCTCCTCCACAACTTAATGCCTTTTTGGCTCCTTTGTATGGACTTAACAGGCTTTGACAGTGCTCATCAGCTTGCATTCCTGCAACAAACCTGTTCAGTCTGTATTGTTCTACAAGTGACCCAGTTGTTCTGGCCAATGTATATACTATTTCTATTCAAGATATATTTTTGAAGGGCTTTCTTCTTAGTGGGACCTATTTTATATATAAAGTGATGCAGCCATACCATCTTGATTCAGATGTCAAATCTAAGCACACCCTGACATTGTTAGTGCTTGGATGGGAGACCTCCAAGAAAGCCCAAGTACTGCTAGGACTGTTTTTGGCAAGTTAGGAGATAGTGCTTTTTTTCTCAGTCAGTACTCAGAGTAGTTGTGGAATCATAGAGTTAAAACCAGCAGTTACCACCATTTCATCTCTTGTGACAGCCTGTATATCACAGGCCACCAACACCATCCAGCACCTGCACACTAAACCAAACACACAAAATTAGACTTAAGTATTACAGCCCACGGGAGATTAGACCATTATGTGCCACAGTGACTGACTGAAGCAGTGCCCCAGCAAGTGTTAGGAAATATCATGGTGCTAGAGGAATTATCTTTAGGATGAGTTGCAAAACAGTTGACACTGATCATGTGTAGTCATTAAAGGTTCGATGGCCCTTTTTGAACCTTTCTTTCCAAACTGCAGTGCTCATAGACTCTAAGATCAGGAGGGACCATCATGATCATCTAGTCTGACCTCCTGCACATTGCAGGCCACAGAACCTCACCCATCCACTCCTTTAATAAACCTATAACCTCTGGTTGAGTTAGTGAAGAATCATGATTAAAAGACTACAAGTTACAGAGAATCTGCCATTTACCCTAATTTAAACCTACAAGAGACCCTTACCCTATGATGCAAGAGAAGGCGAATTCTCCCCCCTCTGCCCCCCCCCACCCCCAGGTTCTCTGCCAACCTCACTTAGAGGAAAATTCCTTCCCAATCCCAAATATGGAGATTAGTTAGACCCTGATCATGTGGGCAAGACTCACTAGCCAGACACTTGGGAAATAATTCTCTGTGGTAACTCAGAGCCCTCCCCATCTAGTGTCCCATAACTGGCTATTGGAGATATATGCTGTTAGCATTTGTAGCTAGCATCCCCCGCATAAACTTTTCAAGCTCTGTCTGGAAGCCAGTTAGGTTTTTGCCCCTACTGCTCCCCTTGGAAAGCTGTTTCAGAACTTCATTCTTCTGGTGGTTAGAAACCTTTGTCTAATTTCAAGCCTAGACTTGTTGATAACCAGTTTATATCCATTTGTTTTTGTGTCCACATTGGCTCTTAATTTAAATAACTCCTTTCCCTCCCTGATATTTATGCCTCTAATGTATTTATAGAGAGCAATCATATCTCCCCTTTTTTCGGTTAGGCTAAATGAGCAAGCTCTTTGAGTCTCCTCTCATAAGGTAGATTTTCCATTCCTCTGGTCATCCTAGGAGCCCTTCTCTGCACCTGTTCTAGTTTGAATTAATCTTTCTTAAACATGGGAGACCAGAATTGTGTACAGTATTCCAGATGAAATCTCACCAGTGCCTTGTGTAATGGTACTAACACTTCCTTTTCTGTATTGGAAATACCTTGCCTGATGCATCCTAGGACTGCATTAGTCTTTTTCTCAGACGCTTCACGTTGGCGGCTCATAGTCATCCTGTGATCAACCAGTTCACCAGGTCTTTCTCCTCCTCTGTCACTTCCAACTGATATGTCCCCAGCTTAAAGCAGAAATTCTTGTTGTTAGTCCCTAAGTGAATGACCTTGCACTTTGCACTATTAAATTTTATCCCATGTCTCTTATTCCAGTTTCCAGATTTCTCCAGATCTTCTTGTATGATATTTCAGTCCTTATCCAAATTTGGCAACTTCTTCGAGTAGTGTCCCGATGGGTGCTCCACTGTAGGGCATTCCAGGACACAACCTGGGGGCAAATGAGGGTCAGAGGAGGTTGTCAATAAGAAGAAAACAAGGTTACCAGTCTTAGCAAATGTATAATTTCATAAATTTTAAGATTGTGGTTCCTTTGTGCTAAAATGCTGTGTAAAAAATGGAGGCAGTGTGTGGGTTTTTGTTTTATAATAATAATATCAGTGAACAAGACAGTTTAATAAAATACTAATAGGCCACTGTAAAATATAGCTAAATTGAAAAGATGTAAAAAACAAAACAAGAAAAATCCTATTCAGGAAATTCCAAATAATGATCAAAAGATCAATTTATTCTGAGACCACAGAAAGAATACAATTGAATATGAACACATCCTTCTAAACTCTTTTCACCTTGGTACTTATGTACTAAATATACAAAACTATAGACCAAAGAATTGAAGAGTCTTTATTTTTCCTTTTCCTCTCATAGGATATTTTGTCATGTCATGGTGACACATCCCATGTTGCATTATAAGTAAAGTCCTCCTAGTTTCCTCAGATACTGTTTCCTATAACTGGAGTTCTGGGGCCTTGTTGCAATTGATGTCACGGCCACCATAAATATCTAGAAATACATGACAGAGAGTACAACTTAATGGAAAAATAGGCCAAAAAATGTATTGCAAGTGGAAGTAGATTGATAAATATTTAGGGTTGCAAATTACATTGCTGAAGAAGGTGGAATTTTCTTTAAAAAGAAAAACTAAGACTGTTTTATAAACTAACTAAATTTTTTGATAGCTGCAGAATATAATGGGGTTGGCCCACAGTTATGGAAATGCAATGCAGTTGAGCCTACCCGATCTCCCATCATCATGACAGCTGGGCTAAACCTAAGTGGTGCTGGGACCCGAGTGGTTGCAATGCCTGAAGCAGGGAGACAAGCTCAGTCAGCTCCATGGGACAGGAGCCACAGGAGTTATCACGTGACTCTTCAAAACCCAATTTTAGATCCCAACCCAGGGGGTTGAGAAACCCTGTCCTACGTAGAGCACTCACTCATGCCTTATGTGGTGAAAATAATGAATTGGTGCAAAGCAAAATGGAAGCTGTTCTCATACTTAACTTTATTAGACTTAGTGGTCATCATTATTTTTCCCAGTTGTTTTTTAAATTTGCTGAACCTTTGTGATTTTTTATATTTGTTCTAAATCTCCTATTGTTTCTCCCCTGAAGCACATCTTTTTGTTCCTGATCCTGCAAATGGTTACACTTCTAAATAGTCTCATTGACATCATGGGACTACTCTTGTGCATAGCTGTATGCAGGTTTGGCATTTGCCTTTTAAATCTCTTTGTAAACATCTTGAATGATTTACTGAGTTTGTGACATCATAAAAAAAGGGGAAAAGCTGCGACCTGTTTTTCAGATTTTAGGGTAAATGCAGAAGCTAGTTGTTTTTATGTGTTTCATATGACAATGTATAGTTACAACCTCAGTACAGAAACTCTGTTTCTAACCATTTTTTGTTTCATTTTTATCATTTCATAAAGGTGCAATGCAAAGAAAAAGTGCCTGTTGTTGTTACCTGACTTCCCTGTATTGACTTTGTATCATCAGCTTTGAAATAGGGCACCCAACTGTAGTTCTTCCTTCGTTAGAACAAGTTCACTTTTGGGGCTGAAAGCATAGCTAGATTATGAGAGTAGAGAAGGAACAAGGCTGATACTGCAGGACTGTTAATATTAATTAAAAATAGTTCTAAGAACTATTTTCCGTGTCTCCATTATTTTTGCTAAAAAAAAAAAAAAGCGGGGGGGGGGGGAGAAATGTTCCTACCTTCCTGAACCCTGGACACGCTGTATAGCTTTTATTTCAGTATAAAATAGTATTTTATGGTATAGTATAGCATTTTGATATTCAGATGTTAAAGTAGTAGAATTGCTAAAGTCAGGAAATTCTTGTAGCAGAATTTCATCTTCTCAAATGCAAAATCTACTGCTCGTAGGCTACATAAAACTAGGGGTCTTGCTTAATATTAATAATAAATACACCTGAGCCAGAACTGCAGTGTTTGGATTGCATCTGGATCCAAAGTTTGTGTGGCTGGTCAGGTCCAGGATTTTGGTTTGGCCCCATCGCTACAATGAAGTATCTCATTCATAGTGTGTTGAAACATCTGGAGTGATTTTGTACAACACAAATCTTTGAAACATATAAACTAGATGATCTTGAATGTTTTCTTGTCGCTTCAGGTCTTTTAACAGAAGGAGGATAGTTATTGCAAAGCAATGATGAGTCCACATGGTGTCAAAACCAGTTTTGTTAAAGAGAAGTTTAAATAAACTTGATTAGGTCAGAGTGTGAGATACCCTCACTGTTAGCCTTCACTTTAGCTAAATAAAAATATCTTTGGGATGGTTTAACACAACTTGGCACACCGGGAGGCAAGGTTTCCAGACAGATAAAAAGATAGATGGCCTCAAGCCATGTGGATGATATGAACTGAGGTGGCATGTATAGTGAGTGTCTGGGTAGGATTGGAAGATATGAGTTGAGCTGTACTGATAGCACCATCTACTGGCGTGAGAGTGGAATATCATTGTTAAACTACTGAGCTATCTCCTGACCTTCCTAGCTAAAGGAATCAGTGTGCTGTGGAAGATGCACTA